TTGATTTCAGAATTGCTACCCAAATGCAAGGCTACAGAAATTGCTTCCAAAGAACAATACTTTGAAAGCATTTACTCAAGACAAGAGATGCCATAATGTGAAAAAACAGAGAAATATAAAATCCTTCAATGACTCCTCCTCAAATAAATGTGACAAACTGTGAAGTCAGGAGTAAGGATGAAAAATAAACAAACTGTAAATGTTTGGCTTCCAGAGCTGTTTCTAAACATATCGCCTAAGCATTTTCCAAAAAAGAAATTAAATTTTTTTTCCTTTTCAAAACTTACTATAAAATAACTGAAAATAGACCAAAAAAAAAAAATCTGTACACAAACAGAAAAGACCCACAGAACACTAAAATATTCAGGTAGTTAGAAATATCCAGAAAATCAACCAACATTCTCAGTTTTCTGAATGTTTGGCACTACAGAGAGAACTCTGAACATATATTGGCTAATTGCCTATATAACTGCATGTACTTATGATTTATAATACTTATTTACAGGTAGGCCTTAGCTTTATATAAAATAGAGAGTAAACGTTAGTAATTGTTATAAATCTAGAAGTTGTTTCTGATAACCTTTTATATATTTTCACTTGGGCTATGTAGGGTAACAGAAAATATCAAAGACATGACTTGTTTTAGAACAAGGTAGCAGTTGGTAAAGCACTAGGTTAGGTATAAAAAGTGAACTAAAAATTAAGTGAACCAAGCTAGTTCCTAGGCAATGCTCCTTTAGGGTGCAGATAAAAAAAACACAATAGCAGCTAAAAGAGAAAAATCTCATTTTAGCTACACACAGACCTGTAGTGGCCCTAACATGTTTTTGGAGAAAAGCTACTTCTTAATTTTTAAAAGTTCTACTATATGGTAGGTTGGTACTGAGAAGAGGAGGACTCAGGGAACACCCTCAGTGATAGGGAACAGTAGCTTTATATCACACCCTTGTTCCCCCATAAGTGCTACCCAATGGAAAAGCCAAGGTACAGGGATCATGGCAGCCATAGGTCTTCCCATCAAAAATAATCCCCAGGCAAATCCTTTTGGAAAATGAACATGTAACCCAGAATCTATGTTTTCTGCCACTGCACAAGTTCAGCTTGTCACATTTTCTGAAGGTGATGGTCTGTTTCCTGCTTTTACAGATGATCATGTTGAACCGATTAAAAAACGGACAAGCTTCTTTTAGTATTACGCTATAGGTCTATAACTTCTGCTATAGGCCAGTTATGTGAGGACAAACCATACAGGCCAAGTTCCCGCCCTGTGCAGCTGAAATCCCAGTGAATGGGCAATTTCCTCATCCCGACAAGAAGCTGTATTCCCTGTAATTCCACTTCCTGTCTTCATCCTACATTGCCTTTTTCATGGAAACCCCAACACAGATTCAGATGGAAGAAACTAAAGGTGTTCACAGAGGTTAGGATCTAACTACAAATGTCAGGAGCAGGACTGTGCAGTATGGTCATGGGAGAAGGTGATCCAAGGACCCAAGACACTGTCAACTTTCAATTAAAGGATGGGAATGAAAAAGATTTCCAATAGGGGCATGTACTCTGAAGTTTATTCCATCAACACATCATATCTTCCTTTCTCTCTCCTCTCTCCTTCCCTCCTACTCTCCCTCTCTCCCCTCCTCTCCTTTCATCTCCTCCCTCTCTCTCTCTTACCACACTATAGCTCACCCTTCCAAATACCTAAATTTATATTCACACAAATACACAAGCTATGCAAAATTTCACAAATATATAAGCCACACATTATGGGGAATGACGTATGCCCACTTGAAGGAATGCATGACATAGTTTCAAGGACTTATCAATACTCTGTTAAAGAACATATCTATTAACACACCTTAACTCCAAGGGAATGGTCACACATGTCAAAACACTTTCTAATATAGGTTGTGCTGCTCAGTGCAGTGCCCCAATGGCTGCTTTCCCCATGGTTTCTCTAAGGTTCTGAAGATTAAACAGTTGGTAGCCAAATTTGTATACGTGCCTATAAACAACAGGCCTTGACTTTAAATAATTATGTCAAAGAAATGACAATTGTGCTCTTTGCCAGAACAGGGATGAATAATTACAAAGCCAGGACATAATTAAGCAATTCTGACTGCTGGGATTTCCAGCTGTCTCTCTGATGTGTGAGGCTGGTGTGCCACCACACACACCCTCCTGGACTGACCTCTGCACTCCTTTGATCTACATTTCCAAGTGCAGTGAGGGGGTTCACAGTCTGGTTATTATAGAAGTTTTTCATTGGTGGACTCAACCTTCTCTGTATCCAGCTTGATGCTCTCTGTACTGACAATGGAATGATTCAATGGCCAAATTTGACAACAATATGTATTTTCTTTGAAATTCTGGGAAATGAGCAATCCTAGCTGTTGCAGATCCATTAACTGTTAACACACACATGCTCACACACAAACACATACATACACACAGATTGGAAGAGCCCATTGTAACATTAGCTATCACCTCCTAACGAATGACAGCATCTTTCTGAGGGATAATCAGAGCTCAGACAGAAGGCAGCATTGAAACAACAGAAGCCAAAAGACAAAAACAGAGGGAAAATGTGTCATCATGAGAGAGAACTCACACTTGAGTGCCAGGGCCTCCCAGGTACCAAATCAAACCTCTGTGACATGAGGGTTGATTAGTTCCTGGCTGATTTTGCATTTGCATCAGCCGAGAACACCCAAACTGCCAGTTCCCCACCTCCAAGGCAAGGGCTGTGATTGGAGAGGCATTTTCCATTCTCCCAAATACTTTATGTCAGGAATAAAATGAAAACAGCTCCCCAAATCACAGCCTCCTTGATCATCCATCAGAGCATTCTGCTGAATAAGCACAACAGGCCACTGCCGCCTTGGAAAGGACAGAAGCCAACTTGAGACTCTGGTTCTGTTATGAAAAATAGGTCTTCACCAACTGTATGTGGCAAAGCATCGTCAATGCACGGGAAGGAAATGCTCTCCACTTAGAAGCCGAGTCCGGGTATACACATACCTCCCAGAACACACATACATATGTATACACAGAGACAGAAAGCATATATACACACCTGCATGGGAACAAACATAAGTCTGTATACACTGTGAACAGGTGAGAACCAGCCTTTTGAATACCAGTTTCTTAATTCAGCAAAGAGCTCATTTAGCCTCTTTCTGCAAGAAAAATACTATGTCTCTGAAAACAACAGACGTAAATGGGAATTGCCTGCCATTCAAAAGACAAATAGTTTGATACAAAACCAATAACACTCTAGAATTCTCCTGTGTTCTTACAAGTTCATAGCATAAATAAAACACCTAACCAGAGACCCAAGACCTTTGGTTCTGGTCCCAATTGTCCCTCATCAGAACTGATAAGGGCCTTAGGCAACTGTGCCCTCCTCCAGTTCTCTCATCCACAAAACAAGAGCAAATGATTTCTGAAGTCTTCTCTAGTTTGAGAATCAGGTGACTCCACAAAGAGAGAACCAAAGCTCCCTATGTTTTGTTGGAGTATTTTTTTCTCTCTCCTCAAATAATTAATGGACATTTTAAAGCTTAATACAGTTAGTAAGGATATTAGAGTCAATCACACAAACACAAGCTAATTCTATAATTGATTGGAAGCTAATTGGAAACTCTGAAGAACACTTCTGCTGATGTTGCTAATAACTTAGACAAACAGCTAATGGTGTGTGGGGGGTGGGGGGTGGGGGGCTGAAGGAGCTATTTCCGGTCACTTTCAAAGGCAAGTGAGCGTTCCAATTTCCTCCATCTCTAGTCATCAGAGCAATTCTATTTTCACCTGTTTTTTGGTGAGACTTTATTTGAATGATGACATTCATGAGGAAAACATTTAGCTCACTGCTCCAGAGTTAAGAAAGCAGAGTGAGAAGAACATAAACTCCATGGTTAGACAGGCACAAGGGAAGAGCTCCAGTTCTGAGTATTCCCAGCCACATATACTCAGGCAGTACAATGAACTTCTCTGTGCTGACTTACCTCATTTGTACAATGAGACAATAATCCCTTCCCTCTGCCTTATAGCGTTATGAGAGGATTCACTAATCTATAGGCTAAGAACATTTGGGACAGTGGTAGGCACGTACTGAGTATCCAGTCCACATAGAATGGACATTGTACTTATTACTCCTTCAGATTTCAATGACAATATGGAGCTTCCCGTAACAAAAGCAAATGAGAGCAGGATAAATACTAATCTATCTGCATCATATATACATGAAGGTGGGAAATGTAGGATGAGCAGGTTCTAAGCCAAGAGATTACAAAGAGTTCATTTGTAGTTATTTTTCTGAGTTTGGGAGGTGTCAGCGGTCTCTGGAATCCTTTCACAAAGAAAGAAATGAAATGAAAAGAAAAAAAGGACAATAAATAAATTCTTCCATTTGAACAAAATTACAAAAGCTGAAATAACTAAAGGCAGTCATGTGTAGTATGTCAAATCTGTGTCCCAATAAGGAGAACTGTTAACACTTTAATAGCTACTCAATGAGTCACTCAATTTCTCATATGCTAAAATAGGTAACAATACATTTATCTGCCAACATAATACCCTCCATATATATATTTCTACAACTGTTAGCAATTTTATTCAGCATAACAGAAATCAGTTACACCTCATGGATTCAGGGAAAGAAAGTGGCCTGAGGTCTGTTGCCAACTGAGCAACCTGATGGAAGAGGTTTTATTACTCCACTCTGCTTTGGATTTGCTTGGGTTTTTTTTTTTTTTTTTTGTCTTTTCTCCCCTTAATCACTGCCAATGCATGTACAGAGGGCTATAAGTCACTGAGTGAGGACAAACTAGACCTCTAGGAAGACCTCATTAATATCCAATCCTGTTTCATGTTTGGCCAAGATTATATCTATTCATGAAACCCTAGCATAAGATTCTACCTCCATTCTAAATGCAAGGACATCCCCCATGTTCTGAAGAGTAAACATTGGTATGAGATATAAATCCCTCATGAAGCCTCACCTTGGGCTTCACCACCTTCATGAAGGCCCCTCTGACCAATGCCTCCTCTCGTTCTTGTCTGGTTACTTTCCGGGCATCCAGGAACTTCAAGTTGGGAAGTTTGTACAGAACAAAACATCTGGAAGAAAAGAGTCAGAAATAACTCAGGAAGGTTCGGATCAGCCTCAAAGATCCAGGCAATTTGTCTGATCCTTAGGAATCCACACCATTAAGTCTTCAGGTGACCAAATATTGGCCACTGCTTCACCTCTCTTTTTTTACAAAAAGTGAACATTCATTCTTTGGGGTTGGAGAGGTTATATTTTATAAAGATACAAGAATAAACTTTAGAAACATACAGTAATGGTTGCACTTGACTCAAAGGTAGAAGACATATGGATATCCTACCTAGATTAGCCAATAGGACCCTGTCAGTGTATGAGTCCCTTCTTCCATTCTGGAAAATGGGCTTGGTTTCTTTGCTATACTGGAAATTCTCAGTTAAGACTAACCTACACCTTGACTATATAACTTATGTCACTGTCATTCCTGTGGTCATATGTATCACTCTCATCTCTGATATCACAACAGATCTTCAGTCTGAAGTTGAGATAATAGAGTGTGACTTGCCAGAGTAGGACAATAAACTAGGTTGCAATAAGCTGGATGACTCTGGGATAGAAGTAGACAACACATGTAGCTAAGATATGCTTCCTTGAAGATTCAAGCCAGGATCTTGGGACTTTTTCTCATAATCATTGGGTTACTTCCACATTGGCACTAAGAAGATAATTTTCATTAAGGAGAAACAAGGGAAGTTGTTTCTAGGGGATGTTAATAGTCCAATAATTGTTAGGTGGTCTTCATTCCCTTCAAAAGACTCTTTGGTATTCATTATGACTAGGCCTACCTATGATGAGCTGTCCTCAAGAAGCAGTATATGGAGTATATGGATTTTACCTTCATCAGGACCAGAGGTTTATAAATATATAAATACACATATAAAAGTAATAGGCACCTGTCTCTTCTACTCCCTCATCAGTGACAGTCACCAAAACAGATGCTTCCCTTTAAGGACCAATATTCCATCAATCACATAAGCAACTGTTTAGACCCTACCCAGCTCAGGAGAAGAGGTCATCAGGATCCAGTGTCAAGATGGATGCTCTCCAAGGGTTCAGTCACTTTCTTCCTGTACCAACCTTAGTATTCTTTCACATTTCAAGTCCCAACCCCCATGAAAATTTCTTCTATGCTTATAGTCCACATTGTTTTCTTTCTTCTCAACATTTCTAGAATATATTCTTAGCACCATACAGTCTAACAGCTAGTTTTCTAGTTATTTTCTTGATGTCCTTACCTAAACTATTAGCTTCTTGATGGCAAGGACAAATTTCCTTGTTTACTCTCATTACATCTTAGAACCTTGCATTAGAATGGACTCAATAACGTCACTATTCATTTCATCTGCATATATTTCTTGAGCACCTATATGTGCCAGACTCTAGGGACAAAGGGATGATTATGACATGGTCCTTGTTCCCAAAGGGGTTCTTAGTGTAATGGGAAAGATACATTCGCACAGAGAAGTTAGGAACCAGTGTAGGTAAGAAGCAGAGATTATGTCCAGAGTGGTTATAGGAGAAGCAATGGCCTGCATTACTCATGGAATAACTGAAAACTAAGGGGAAAAGGAGGAACTAATATCTCAAACAGAAAAGGCAGGGAGGATGAGGGGAGGTTAAGGGAATATCATAGAGGGGGTGAATTTATTCAAAATATACCATATGCATCTATGGAATGACCACAATGAAACCCCCTTGTACTGTTAATGTATATTAATAGAAAAGATTTCAATAGGTTTCAAAGAACCAAATCCAGAAGCAACCCCAAGCACTTAGCTATGTCTCAGTACTGATGACCTAGGTATGCAGTGTGCTTCACTCCTCCCAGGAGCTTCCTCTCACATTCATAGGTCATGTCATCTCACCAAGTGGCCTTCATATGCTTATCTAGGTAAAAGATTTGGTTGATCACTCAAAAGCCAGAGACAACATTTAGTGGTTGCTAAAATGCTCTGAAATTCCTTCGAGGCATACTTTTCCTTCCTAGTACAGTCCACCCTGAAGCCTGAGATCCTGAAATTTGACTCTCCCTCTTTCTTTCTTCCACCCCAGCCTCAGTCAAATGCCCCTCACCTCTCTAAAGGCTACCAACCTTATTCACAACCAGGAAAGAGCTACAAAGGGCCCAAATGTTCTTTCTACCCTTTAGTAGAATTCCCACCGGCCTCAGATTGTCAGAGAAAACTTCCATCTTCTGCTAGTAGCAGCAAAGTCTGGATGACAACAGATTCTTTCAAATAAAGACATGTACAGACAGAAACAATATGTCAGGAGTGACGCTCAAAGGAGTAAAGACACCCACTAAGTGTAGGGTGGGGAAAGATGAATATTCAGGTGAAGACAACATCAGTATTAGAAAATCAGCCAATGTTTAATGATGGAGTGAAAGATGCCTTCACAGGGCTGGCAGGAACCATGATGACAACAGACCGCACATTGTCATTTTGCCTCACTTTGGATCACAGCCCTGAAATCAAAGGAGAAAGACAGAGAGAGGTGCTGGCTTTTAAGATAGTTAAAAAATTTTAGATGACAAAGAGCTGCTTTTTCAGAGCACTCTTCTTATACAATCAAAGAGACAGCCTGTGACACAAGCTGCCAGTCACCCCTGGGACTGGGGGTGACTTGACTTCCATCCTGAGGGCCAGAAGGGGTTTCCAGGTGGCTGCTGTCGAGAGAGTTTTCAGAGACTAGAAGACTTATCCCTAAAAATCTACTTGGACATTCAGCCCAGGGTCCAAAGGTCCTCCTTAGAGACCTTTTCTTTTATTTACTTGTTCACACTTTCAGCAAGTAAGTATTGAACAGCTACTTCTGCCAGTAACTGTGCAAGGTGCTAAGAATAAGGTGATGAAGAAAATGGAAGGCCTCTGCTCTCAATGAGCTTATATTGTAGCATGGTGGTTCTTACATTTAAGCAGGCATCAGCATCTGCCCGCCAGGCTTATTAAAACAGATCATTGATACCCATCTCCTGAGTTTCTGATTCAGGAGTCTTTGAGTGGGGCCTGGAATTTATGTTTCTAGTAAGTTCTCAGGTGATGCTGTACTGCTGTCCAGCTGAGAACTAATGTCCTGGTGAAAATAATTCCATGAGGAATAATAGTTTTGGGATTATGAACATGGTGAGGCAGCCAGGAGACTCCTTCCTGTTCTGCCAACAGTCTGCCCTGCTCCAAAGTCTGTGGAACACAGAGCCCAGACAGCAGCTCCATCTACCAGATCTCCCTAGCCCTTGGTGACTTGGAACTGGCTCCAACTGTATTGCCAAGTGATAAGTCAGTAGGCTTCCTGCTGGCCTGTCCCATCCTGGTCTTGAGAGATCTATTTTCTTTTTTTCTAGGTCATGTCAGGGTGTCAAAAGCTGCAGCTTCAATCCTGAGTGTAATACAAGTTTGCCATAAAAATACAAGAGCGGATTCCCAAAGCCACAGAATGAAGATTTTTACAATATCAATTCAACCCTTGTAAATTTAATCCAGGGTTATTTGTTGCACCAAAATCTCTTTACTGTGATGTATTACTTAGTTACTGGGGTTATCACAGCCATATCCTAAAGTTGCATAGTACATAAAACATTTCAGTTAACAATGCAGGAAGGTTAACTCCCCCAGATAACCTGCAATCACAAGGGCTAGTCCAGATGACATCCCTCTGTCAGCTTCCACGAGCTATTGATGGTTCAATCAGTTTGTTTTGAAGGTAAAGTACAACAAAAGGGCAGTAAACTTATTCAGACTGTCAACAGGGGCTATCGGGAATGGGGCTTGCAGGTAAGTAATTCTGGGTGTTTTAAGGCTATTATCAAACAGCAATGGTTGAAGGAAGAGACAGCTACTAATAACACAGAAGGCAGCCATCATAAACCACTTTATGGCAGAAACCCCCATCCATAAATCCTGCAACACCCAGAGACGGCTTCAGATTTATAAAACTGCTTGTTAAGCCAGGGCACTGCTTAATGAAAAGAGATCTGTCTAAGTTCTAAGTGTCATGTCCCTAGCTCCAGAGGGCAACTCCAATTTTCCTGACCTTCTCAAGGTGGCTGGGGGGGAAGCCCCCAGGACTGGGGGTGGTGGGAGTCAGAACCACTTTTGGCTGTGATATGGAGGGAGAGGCTATCAAAAGGAGAGCAGGGATCCTGGGAAGGTGTTTAAATACTCATTTGTCTCTCGGGAAACAGATTTCTCAAAAGTGAAAGAACAGTAACCAGAGTTTTCCAGGCTCTCTCTCTTTTCATATAGAATGTTCCATTTTGTGAAAGGACTCTTCTAAGGACAGAACTAAAAAGAACAGCCCAAAGTCTTTTTTTTTTTTTGCTCCAATATCATTGTTCTGGCATTTTTTCATCTAGACCTCAAAGAAAGAGAATGTTCTGTCCTCCTGCACAAAACTGTTACCCCAGAAGAACTGGCTGCTCCCCAGTAACAGTGTACAACCACAGAAAAATTTCCCTTGGGTCTCCAGTATCTATCTGCTAGTTGACTGGCTACCATGTTTCTTTCTCCAAGAGTCAATTCAAGAAATACCAAGTTTGACCAGCTGTGGTGGTACATGCTTATCATCCCAGTACTTGGGAGGCAAGGCAGAAGAGTCATGAGTTTGAGGCTGGCCTGGGCTATATAGTGAGTTCAAGGCCAGCCTGAATTACACAGTGAGGTACAGTTCCAAAACAAACCCCAAAAAAAGGGAAAAGAAAGAAATGTTAAGTTTTGAGTTCCTAAGAGACTCAGGCTGTGGGTCACTGGAGCTTCTTCTACTTCTTTCCATCTATGACTTTCTATGCTTCTTCATGCTATTTCTTGCTGCCTTCTTTCTCCCATGCATGGAAAGTGAGGACACAAGATACAAGCTACTGATGCACTACCTGGGGCCCCAGAAGACAGCCATTGACGATCTGTGAACTGTTTTCAATTCTCCACAAATCTTAACAGAACAGGGCAAAGATGCCAACAAAACATGCTTCTTTGTTGTTGACTGGATTACATCAACTCCATTTAGTAGCAGTGGTTTACCTTGTGCTGACCAAAACCACTGATCAACTGCTAGATGTATCTGATTAATACAAGAAAAAATAACAATGGTTTACATGCATCTTGTTTGAGAGACTGAAGCTTTTCAGGAATGGGGAGAAAAATTAAAAGGTGGGGAGGTCTTCATAAAAAAAAAAAAAAAAAAAAAAACTTGAGGACTAACAGGGCAAAGGAAAGAGCCCAGGCTTTGAGCTTACCCTTCTAGGTAATCTTGGTTCAGTCTCTGCTGCCTTTCCGAGCATCAGTTTTTCTATGTGTTCAATAAAGGAGATGGCCCAAATAATTTCTAAGCCTCCTTCAAACTCTACCATGCTAGAATTCTATGTGCCTCCAAGTTGGTTTATAATAAATACATCCATATTGTCCTTTCTTGTTACACCAATTTCACTAATTTCCTTTGCATAACCACTCCCCACACCTCCAGGTAAAGAAAGGTGATGAGAAAAAGCCAATAAAGAGCAAGGAGTAATGAACAAACACTGTGAATGGAATAGCTCCAGATGCTCAGAGAGATGACAATGATCTCACTCTAATGAGCCGAGGTGAGCTCACCTACAGTATTAATGAATGCCTGACAACTGGCAAAGGCCAGCTGATTTTCCTCACAGTTCACAGCAGCATGTTTGAAGTTTCTGTGCAAACAATACACCCACAGGACAGTCCTAGGCCCTCTATGGAGGGTAACCGGCAATTACTCTGTGGGCTTCTGTCACTTTGATCTCTGGGTCGTGACCTTTGCTTTCTTGTGATCTTCAAAGCCCAGATTGTAGATTAGCTGGGGAATGCTAGCTGGGTTATGTAAACCACAAGTTTTACAGCTCCTATTCAGTGGGAAATGGTGGCAGCTCAGGACAGCCCAGACATGGAGGGTCCCTCCCACTGCCTTCCCTTTGCCTGAGTGATACAGACACTGGGCAGGCCCCAGGGCTGCTCCCTACCAGGGAACAAAGAAAGGGCACCACATTTAAATAATTTAAAGTTGTAAGGAATACAGAAGGGCCTAGTGAGGAGGAGGGTGAAGGAAGGACAGGACAATCAGACACTGGAGGGTCAGGACAGAATGCAGGACAAAGGTATTAGTGACACAGGGAGAGCTAGGCACCCATGAGCCCAAGTTCCTTGTTTGAAAGGTGAAGTCCAGCACCTGTCCATTGTTGACCTTCTGACATTATTCTTTCTATAGAAAAAGAGGATGGAAAAGGACGACAAGAAAAGATGAACGACAGACCACTCTGCGCACTCGAGTTTCTCATACTTGATTCTTTTGCCCAACGTCAAAGTATGTCAGAGGCAGGCCCAAATGGTTAACATGATGGTAGTGCCTCTGGCCAAGCCTTGCCTGCCCACTTTTTTCCTGCCCAAATCCCAAAGACCACTGTTAGCACATTTGCTTCCATTCAACATTTATCCCAGAATAGCAGTGCTGTGTCCAAAACACAGGCAGGTTTAGGCTCCTATGACAACATTTCTTAGCCATGAGCTATGATGAATGACAAAGGGAACCCCAGGCAAGGCTTCACTCCTGCCCTGGCAGGGCCAGGGCTCTGCTCAACAACTAAGTAACATGTTCATGCTCGCATAGAAATTTAATGAGCCCGTTTTACCGTGAGGATGTGTGCCAAGAAAATCCAACTAGGTGCACAGGGGGTAAGTGAGGAAGCCAAAGGGGTGTGGCAGGGGAGGGGGAAGAAAGACTTGACAGAAACTAGTAACTACATAAATTCAGTCACTTGCCATTTCTGGTCCAGTGGTTGGCCACAACGTGACCTAAAACTGGGCTGACCTCTTTGAAATCAACATCTCCCATGAAAATGAAAAAACAGACACACTTGTTTTGATGTATGGCTGGGTGACATATTATAAATATTACATCACATAACCACAAAGGATGCCAATCAATAAGAAATTTTTTTAGACAGCACTAAATGAGCCATGGGTTTTTGCTTCTGAATACACTCCTTTAAGACTCCTACTATTGCTTAAATGATTAATAGAAGACATATTGTCAGAAAATGTACTTAAAGTGAAAAACAGTAAACTGTAGAAATATCATTCATTCTTTAAGCAATTTTCTAGTGAAAATGTCACATAAATTTACATAGAGGCTCCACTATTAGGCTCTGGGTAACAGCTAGAAAGAAAGTAGACCTCATACTTTGTGGATGAAAGACTCAGAAAATATTTTACCAAAAGAAAAAACAAAAAGGCAACTGTCTTGCTTTGTAAAAATGCAAATGCCACAGGAACTCTGAATTCAAAAGCCATATTGTGAAACCCTAAAATTTCTCAAGGGTAAATGAAGCACAACTCAGGATAAACAAAGCAAAGCGACTTACAGACCACAGAATGGAACTGCATCATGAATACATTTATCTCTTCTAAATACAAGGGTGAGTGCTTATCAAATCAACAATTAAAATGAAAATAAATAAATGATTACAAATTTAAATGTGTTAGAGAATCAACCTACCATTCTCCTCCACAATCAGATGCCATATAGCAAATGTATAACTGCTTGGCACACATTTAATGCTCTCTCTGCTGCTTCTCTCAGAGTGTAAGCATCTTGCTGTTGTTGTAAGTGACTTACAGATTTATCTAAGGTAAATTTGATTGGATGTTATCTTTGGCAGCATGCAAGTTTCACAGCATGAGCACTCACAAGCAGCCTCCCAGGCCTATCCCTCACATCCTTTCAACAAGAGACCTAGAATGGGGAGGACAGGCTTGGGGAATGCCCAGGTTAGACCATGGATGGATTACTCTTATCGAATCAAGCCCTCCCTTAAAGAATCAACCAGGAATTGGATTAAGTCTATTCAGACTTTGCTTGCTAACTGCATTGTTAGCCTCTGAATGGACATGATTCCAAGAAGCAGAGGGCATCTGAGGTGCCCAAAGTCCCTGCATCTGCCTATAAGTACTTGGCTCTGACAGGAAAGGTGATTCCAAACCACCTCCAACAAACAGTTACCAAGACGTTTTTCCATATCTAGCATTACTTTAGTTATTAATGAGGCTTTGAGAGCAAGGAGACCCAGGCCTTACTCACTGGAAGCCATTCTCAAAATGTGGAATGTATGCAGTAGTGTGATAAATATAAAGATGGGATGCCCAAAATGGTGAAAGATAGCAAAGGGAGAATTGTAACTGCTTGGGGGCAGAGGGTCTCAGAGTGCCAGAGCCAAATGAACATCAGAATCCCCAAAGATGATTTTGTTGGATTTGCTATCAAATGAATCAGAATGACTTAGATGACTCAGAAGCCATTTAGGACCATTAATCTAGACAGCTCTCCCCCATTTTGATGGTCCCCTGCCAAAACTGAACTCCACATCAGTTCTTCTGATCTGACCCTTCTGTGTCTTAGAATTTCTGTCAACATGACAAGTAACAACAAAAAAATAGCATTAGCTTTTCTTTTCCTATTACAATCCATCCCTCTATTTGGGACTAAACAAAATAGTACAGAACTGGAAATTTCCCTCACTGTATCCCTCTCATTCTAGAAAAAAACAAGAAAAACTTTCCTACAGTGGTATTCGCATATAACTTCTTGGCTCCATGAGTAAATGAATGAACATGTGTGAAAGCATGTGTCTACACAGACACATGTACACATGTATATGCACATACATCTATATACATATCTACTGTATTAATTTATTTTATTAATTAAGCAAATATCTCTAAAGAAAGCTTTTTTGAATTAATTTGCTCTCCCAATACATCTTAAAATAAGTTGTTCCAATAGCCAAGCTATGGAATCAACCTAGTGCCCATCAATAGATGCGTGGATAGAGAAAATATGGTGTATACACACACAACACACACAATGGAGCAATATTTAGCCATAAAGAATAACAAAGTCACACCTTTTTCAGGAAAATCAATAGAACTAGCAGTCATCATGTTCAACAAAATAAGTCAGACACTGAATGACAAGTATAGCATGTTTTGTCTCATATCTGGTAACTAGAATTTAAAAAAAAAAAGACAACCTGAAAGTAGAGACTACTAGTAATAGAGGGACTACTAAAGGGTAAGGGGATCAGAGGGAGAAGATGAGAGGTAAGAGAGGGTAGTTGGGAGAGTAGACACTAAAGCATAATACATACATGCATGGGAATATCACAGTGAAACCCACAAATATGTACAATTAATAAGCATTAATAAATATAATTTTAAAAATTTAGATCCTAAAATATTGCTGCAAGAAGGTAAAATGTGTTACATGTCCCCTCATTTTGTACCTGAAATTAAGCTTTTAAATGCTTCAAATTTGAATGGAGTGCCCAGAAGTAAATTAAGTTCATTTCTACTTGGAGACCATCAAACCACTTGGATGGAAGACACAAGTATAACTTCATGAAAGAGCTGTATGTGCTTTAGGACTTCCTCTTGGGACTGAATATGAGCTCCCTAAACTTTAGTGGGAAGGGGTTTGTCTCCAAAAAGTGACCCTGAGATTGAACACAGAAAGATCTTACAGTATGGAGCAGGGATTAGCAAACTACAACATGGGTCAAATCTGGCTCATCTATTCTATAAATAAAGTTTTATTTTAACAGGGAGAAGTCCATTAATTTACAAATTATTTAGGGCTATTTGTGCACTAAATAGCAGGGTTCAATAGTTGTGCTGGAGTTTATATAACTTGTAAAACTAAAATACTTATAATTTGAACTATTACCGAAGAAATGTTTGTCAACCCCTGGCCTAGATTATCCAACAGCTGTTCATCTTTCTTGGCTCCTGTGACTCAGCAAAGGTAGACAATGGCTCTAGATTTCCAAAAGGTGAAAGTTTAACATTGTTAGGGGAAGTCAATTGATATTTACCAAATATCTGCTCTGTATCCCCAAATACACTATTTTTTCCTTTCTCCCATCATATAAATACTCACCTATATCTCTTATAGTCTTCCTCATCCTTTTCCAAGCTGACCAGTTCATTGGGACATGCCACATTGCCTAGCAGACTGAGGTACTCCAAAGCTGGGGTCACTTCTGCCAGATGATCAAGCAAACACTCCAAATCAGTAATGTAAGAAAGGTTAAGGATCTTGATCTAAGAATACAAAAGGCTTAGTAAGGAGAGGAGGACATAAGTGACAGGCTTTTACCTATATTAGTCAGTTCTTGATCACTGTGACAAAATATCTGACAGAATAACTTAAAAAGATGAAAGATTATTGGGGATCATGGTTTCAGTCCACAGTCCTTGGTTCCATTGATTCCAGGCCCAGGGTGAGGTAGAGCATCATGGTGGCAGGAACATGTGACAGGGGTTACTCACTTCATTGTGGACGTGAAGAAGTGGCAGGGGTGAGGGGGATGATAAGACATAACCCCAAGGATGTGCTACCAGTGATCTACTTCCTTCAGCTGGGCCCCATCTTCCAATGTTTTCAGAATTTCCCAAATGGTGCCACCAACTGGCAACCAACCCTTCGATACATGAACCTTTGGGGCACGCTTTCTATCCAAACCATAACACCATGCTAGCAGCTAAAGCATCCAGTCTGCTCATATGTGATGACTGAGTGAGGATTAAACCCCACTTCACTGTGGGTCCAGGACATCACTAGTTTTTCACTACCATAGCTGGACATGCAGCCCAACTTTTCTCTAGACAAGCAAAGCTAAGTCCAGATCACTTGAGGGACAGTGGACAAACTTAATTGTTTAATCATGCATTTCTTTCTTCTATAGTTTTATTTTTTATGATAAAAGGATAGATTCTACATAGGAAGACATTTTGTGATATGCAAATACATAAAGATTAATTCCTTTCTAGTAATGAAAACCAGAAATTATTTCAAATAATTAAGAGAGGCTTCCTCCTCTCCCTGAGCAGGAGGAATTTATCATTGAAACAAATGGAAATGGTATGGATGAAAACAGGGATTGGCCCCCTACCCACTTCCTATTTGAGGGCCTTAAAGGGGAGCTAAGCATTGTTCAATGGCCTTAGCCCAAGCCATACAACATTGGGTTGGGGAGAAAAGAAAAACACAGCTAAAAGAAAAAGCAACCAGAGTAAGATGGGATAGGTTAGGTTTTGTCAAACCAATCAGACAAGATAAAATGTATTTTCTAAGACTGTTGAGACTTTGTAGCCTCTGAAGGAGAAAAATCAAAAGACAGAGGAAGCACATTATGAAGAGATTATTCTATGAGTCCACTGTTGAATCAAGGCAAACACTGAGATTCCCAGGCCAAATACGCAAGAATCATAGATTCATGGAATCACTGGTAATGGAAATGATTTTACAATCATATAATTCACATATTAACTCCTGGCTTAATCTACAGACACATGAGCGCAGCCTTAGGTTGGGTGATTGTACAGACCACAAGTCGAAACCATGACTACCAGAGCATATGAAGAGAGATGTTGGCCAACACCAGCAGACAGGACACAGTCCTTGCCAGGGAATGCAGAGTAGCCTATACATACAGGCAGATGGCATATACAAAGTCAGGGAGGGACTTAGAGCAGTTTCCAGGAGTGAGGTGTTTTGTTTGTTTGTTTAGTGGTACTGGGTTTTGAATACATGGCCTTGAGTTTGCCAGGCAGGTGCTCTACCACTGATCCACGCTTCTAGGCCTCTTCCTCTAACTTCTATCCACAGACCCAACTTAGTTTCTTGGAGTCACAGAGAAAAGGGCCTTTTTATCTTCCACATAATAAGCCTTTAGATATTTGAACCTTATGACTTCCTTAAAGCTTCTCCAAGCTAAGTTCACAAGAATTTTTCATACAATATGCTCTACCTCATCATATGCAAGAACAAATGCTATACCCTGTGGGGGAAGAAGGAGACAATGAGAAGCAGAGAAAAGGAAAGAGATAAGCAAAAGAGTAATGGAAAATGCTCATTCACTATTGGCTTCAATTTCCCAAAATCTATCCATTTCATAAACAAAGAAAAATGTAGAAGTTTTTATCTTTCAAAGCTTTCACAAATAACATCTAGAGATGACCACAAAAAGAATGATGGGAATAGGAATTCATAGAGAAGAGTGAAAGAAAGTCCCACCAGGAAGGTAATGTTGGAAGTACTGGGGGTGGATAGCCAGGAATCAAAACATGAGCATATTTCATCACTGAAGAAAAAACAAAATAACTGCTTTTCGAATTAAAGTTCAATCATCATACTCTTTAAGAAAACCAATTAATTTAGCCAATTAAAATGACAGTGAGCAATTTCAGAGAAAATTCAACTTTTCCAAGAGGTTCTATCTTTACATACTTCACAGTCATTGCTATATAAAATGAAAATAAAGAATAAGGGCAACAAAAGAGGGCTCTATTATTCTATCAGTATCGTCCTTAGACCTAAACAAGAGTACTTTGGCATGCCTTCCTCAAAATTTTTTAACTCCTCATCTGGTACCCATAACTGGTCAGGGCCCAACAGTGTCATTCAAGTGGAGTATACTATGCCTGGACCTAGACCTACAAAGGTCTCAGTTTTCCACTTCAGAGTTTATTCCAACTCTAACCCCACACATGGGACCCATCATGTGCACCAAGGAAGACCAGGACACATGCCTATTGGGTTGTCATAAAACCTCAAGGCCAAGCCCTAATTCATGGGAGGACAGCTAGACAAGCCTATTACTTCTACTGGCCAGAAAGGTGTTTATCTTGTGGGATTACAAGAGATTTGGCTGTCAAAATGATGTTCACACCTTGACTTGGAGTGACTCAAACTATTTATGTATATAGGAGATGTAGATGACCTAGGGGAAGCCCTCTTTACTATGGATAGGAAAATTAGACTAAAACCTATTCTCTCCTTTGGGCAAACTCCTCAATGTTTGGGTCTTTTCATCTATTGAATGACGAGGGGACTATGCAGGAACATAACTCAAAACTGGCAAGATGTTCGAGTTGAGGGAACATTGGACAACTGGGTTCCAATGAAATTCCTGTAATTTCTTAATAGTGATGAGTAAGGGAAGTGTAGCATGCCATTATCTAGGGACTGAGGACTATTTTAATCACATCTTTATATGTAGATTTACATAAAGCTAGTAAGGCTTTATACGAGGAATCCTTGTTTGTATAGGGCCCTTTCAAGACGTTGGGAAAGGCCCTACTACCATAGTCGCATGATTATATATTTTTTGTAAAATATGCTCAAGTAGGTTATTTAAATCTTAAACCATTAAGTTCACTGACTTTCCATCATATTTCCCCTTGAGTTTGGAGATAACAGGACCGGCTACAGGAATACTGGGGATATGGCTAAGAGAACTTTTGTAGGAGTGACAATTAATTATGATTCGGTGGAGTACGTTTGTATGGTTTGCAGTCATTTCTGTGTCTGGTTAAATATTATAACAGTACCAGTAAGATTGACTTCCAATAATTATTCCATCACCCACCACACTGACACTAGCATGCAGGGCCCAGCACAAAACTGATGATATGATGGATAATAAACTCATTAATTCAAAGGACATTTAAAGTGTTGAGTATGTGCACACACACCTATTCACCCATATATCCCTAACTTGATATGTTCTGAAATCTTACACAGTTCATATACAAAAAAAAAAAAGTGTAAGAGTTTATCCAAAATTTAATAATCCTAAAAGATTTACCAAAAATCTTTTGGTGAGATTACCAATAAGAAGTGGCTGTGTTATCTTTCCATCACTACAATGAAATACTTGAGATAATTAACTTGTAAAGAGAACAGTTATATTTTGGCTCATAATTCTGGAGGTTCCAGTGCGAAATTGGGTAGAACCATTACTTTGGGGCTTTAGTGGGCATGCCAGATGGCAATGGTGGAGAGCATATAGTACAACAAATTGCTCATCTCATGAGCCAGGAAGCAAAGAAACAGAAAGGAAAAGGCTACGGTCCCACAATTCCCTTCAGAAGCATACCCCCCAATAACCTAAGAACCTCTCATTAGGTCCCACCTCCTACTGGTTCCAGGAAGTGCAAAAAGTACCACCATGGGGGCTAAGCCTTTAGCACCTGTCCCTTTGTGGGACACTTATCCAAACCATAGCAGTGGTAAAACAGAAAGAAACTTCCAACCAATAAAAATAAAAATCAATTTTCAGCAATCATGCTAAAAGATAACCAGGTCTATTTTCTCCACAGAAAACATTACAAAATTTCACTATCTAATGATGTTGCATGAGAATTTGCAAGGCAAAAAAGTAGGGAAAACAGTTCTGACACATTCATATCTAATATAAAAAGATCATTGTCTTTTCTAGATATTTTAACATTTGTACTTATCAACTTAATTTTAAAAAAAATTTCCCTTGGTATATTTTTATTCCAGATAAAAATTCTTTTTATACCTCATTTTGCAGCAATAATTTTGTATTCTTTGTCTTTAAGAAAATTTCGTACTCCACAATACCTGGATCTGCCCCTGAGTGGAGGCCATGCAAAGATAGATCTTATAAATGCCTTGGTTGTGGGAATTTCTTGGGCAAAGGAGCTTCAGGCTCCAAGAACCTTTAGCTATCTGTGCCAATAAATCCAAGGGATTTCCAAGAATCTTGCCTCATTTAGGATATTTTGTGTAGTAGAAGCTCCATTATTTTAGGTCTTTCAACAACCTATCAAATGATAAATCAGACTGAGGTAGTGGTCTCCTCCAAATCCACACCAGACAGGAACTCCCATTACCTCCTCTTTGAATACTCTGAACCAGCCCTCATTCCTGTGTTGATTCCACCACCAGAGCATGAAATAGGAGAAGGAGTTTTAATTGGCTCCTTACTCTCCTGGGTCAGCGAGGACAAACACAGTCTTGTCTTGCCTGATTTCAAGTCAAGATAGAACTTGTCACATTTCTTTTTGTCAAGTTGCATGGAAAATTAAGCAGCGGCAATCAGTGGAGGAAACTTGGTGTCTCTGGTTCACCAGGCCAAGGCAGTGGAGATGGATTCAGGGATGCTCCTAAGGGTGACTTTTCTTCCTTTTTTAAAAATTTGAAGCTACCTGGCACAGTTTCAATTCACTCCAGCTGGATTCTCAGCACACACCTGGTTTCCCTCATCAAGTCTTCTCGAGAGGACTTGGCATTTAAATTTTTTTCAGTGTTGTCTACATAAAGTCGCCATCACAGAGCCCAGCTGTCATGGCTGGGCTTGCCAAGGGAGATTTTCTGTGGAGGGTCCAAGATCAAAGCAGCATCTTGCTTGGAAGTTTGGAGCAAGAAGGAGGAGGGGAGCCTCCCAGTGTTCATGTCTAGTTGCATGGGTCTGAAGCCATTTCCCAGGTGGGAATGAGTGCATCCACACCTCTGGGCTCAGCTTCAAGTCAAAGGGCATACTTGATAAACCACTGGGGAGATTTTAACTGGGGCTAATCCTAATACTAGATTTTTGAATGCTAAATATATAGTATAATGATTCATACACACATCAAAAATATTATCATATCCAAATAACAATTAAGGAAACTGGGTTTAAAGATCTCACAGCAAGTAAGTGGAAGAGTCTATCATAAAATCCAGGTTTCAAAGAAATTGCATTTCTCAGAGGAAAATGAGTAAATTTCTTAACACCAAAGGGGGAAATAAATACTGAAAAATGAGGAGTCTTCTATGTTTTGGGGGACCATATGCACTGTCATCTAGCTGTGCTCTCTACCTCAGGTACTTCCAGTTTAGGTTTTTTGGTTTTTTTTTTTAAAGCACTGAGGCTCTATCAAAATGTACTAAGAAATTTTAGTAAAATGTATAAGATATAAAGTCTTCAGGTATTAACAAAATTATGTCTCATATATTATACACTATTTAAGTCTCTCAACAATACTCTGATGTTATGTATTCTATTACTCATTTTATAAAGAATCCAAGTCCTCTGATGACGTACAGAGACTTTTCCAAGATGATAGTAAATTGCTGTCACGACTGACAGCTTTCTGACTCAGTGCACCAGTCTCATCACATCCCAGCTGTGTAAGATGTAGCTTTGTTCTTCCTTCCTGTTGGCAGTACAATTCAAACTCAATATTTCAAGTATTGAAGTCTCTTCAATACTTGTGCTGAAGTGTGATTTCAAATGACATCAGCTTATTCCCAAAAGGGAAGGTGGAAGACAATCAGTTGATTGTCAAAGATTAAATATCTACATTTTCTAGGATTTTCAAATAGTCCCTTACTTGGGGTTGAGTATTCAGATATGATATGGTAGAGACCATAATCAAAGACCTCACCTCTACTAGTGGAAGAGCTAGGAATCGTACGTGCATGCTCACAGTGAGTGAGAGAGAATGAGAATGGGATGGGGGGTGGAGAATTCATGCATGTCCATTGACTACCTGGCCAGTCTAAATGAACCAAAGGAAGAAGGGTGAGATGGCTACAAATCAAGAGATGAAGAGGTTATCTGAGACAACCAGGCTTTCAGATATTTCAAGGAAGGATACCAGAGTACAAGTGGAACAAAGGGTTGGTAAAACAAAGATAGGAGGTCAAGCAGAAGGTATACAGATGGGAATGGAGGCACTGATTGGTGAACTGAGAAGAAATTTTCCAGATGGCACTGAGTTTGGACTCTGGAATCTCTTTCATGAGCAGATTCCCAGCAGCCCCAGCTGGATGCAGGGCTTTGCCATGGCAGGCATAGGCAGCTGTGTCCTCCTGCATTTGAGTTCCTCTTCTTACACAGTGATTGCCTTTTCTTTGAGTTTCAGAGTATGAGGCTGAAAATCAGCATACCTGGGTTCTAGATTGACCCCCATTGAAAATCTCAGAGACTTCTAAAAGCTCACGCTCTCCTAGTTTTTCCATAAAAATAACAAGAATTATTCAACAGTGCTACCTAACTCCCAGAATGATATTCAGGTAATATTAAACTAAAAGAGCCAAAGAAATATACTCTGGCCTTGCTTATAATGTTCCATGTTAGTCAGATAAGTTCACATAATTTTCTGAGATAGCAATAACAACAATTCACTTATCCTTACATTGCACTTACTATGTGATTGGAACTTAATATTGGTGAGACACCTAGAATATCCCTCACAGTAACCTATGAGGTAGTTAATATTACTGTCCCCACTTTGCCATGGAAACCAAAGGATAGAGATCTCTTGTAACTTGCTCAGGGTCATGCAACAAGTGGCAAACTCAGGGTACAAGTTCAGGAAGTCTGGCCTCAGAGCCTATTGCTCTTATCCACTAGGTGATGGTTACTCTTGTTAAAGGATAAAAGAAACCAATTACCTAAGTTTTAAAGGTCTAGAAACATAAAACATTGTTATAGACATATTCAACTGTAAGTAAAACCAAAAAGGAAAAACCTAGAGTTACATGGCAGATAAATTAGGCAAAAAATTAAAAATGAAACAAACTTCACAAAAGAATTTTATACAAAAACATCCCATTTGAAAGCAAGATTCTTAATATGTTGAAAGATTTCATTTACAAAAAAGATCTTAATATTTGCCCTTTTAGGAGGCCAAAAGTTGATTCTAGAGCTCCCTTCAACACAGAAATGAAGTCAAATCTTAAGGAGAAAGGTGTTAAGGCCTGTGAAGTAGATTGCTAGAGGAATGAGCTATTGTTCTTTGTATCTATACCTCATGTGGTCCTCTTCCACATTTGTTCTACGTTTGGTATGTGACTTGCTTTCACAATACAAGTGGGACTTGCCAACTACTTGTACACTGGGACTTAGGCCCCTAGAACACTATTCTCATGTGATGTGGGTTATGCAGCCTCTTAAAGACATGTCATTCAGCCATCAATCAGCATCAACCTCCAAGCATATGGGTGAGGCTGTCTTAGACCTTTCAGCTTCAGCCAAGGCTCAGAAAACTATGGCTGCATGAGTGACCCAAGGAAAGACCAGAAGAACCAGCCAACTGAGCCCTAGCCAATTAGTTGACCTACAGAATTGTAAACATGTAAAATATTTGTTGCTTTAAGCCAGTGAATTTTAAGGTGGGTTAAATGTTTATGTAGTAAAAGGTAACTGATAAAGAGTCTGTGTCTAAGGCATTTAATGGGCTAGCAACAGCAATATGGAACCTACTAATTGTTCAAGAGCCTGAGGCAATTTTATAAGTAGGCAGGAGAGTCAGAGAGCTATAAGGCAGAGTCAGAGTGTTAGGCTGAGAGGACGACATGCAACTGTGCACTACCTTTCAGTCTGTGATTTCTACACCAAGTGGATGGGGAAGCAGATTTTCATGATAATACCAATATACCAGAAGAAAAAATGGAAAGAAGTCATATTCCATCCTGAGGGAACCAACAGTTGGCATTGGGACCTATTGATAATAAAGTGCTCTGTAAGATCACAATGATATAATCAGTTAGGTTTATAACTACACAGTGCCTTCTGCGTCAGCCCTCCCCACCTATTCTCAGTACTCCTTCAGGAAGCTGAAGTCTGGAGTAGGGAAGGGACTCAACCAAAGACAAAGGCAGTCTTTTGGCACTCTGGGACCAAGAGATCCATTAATCTCTCCTGTCAGAAATATTAAGAATAAAACCATCATCCAGCCCAATTTATTTCTTTAAAAATGAGGAAGAGAGGTTTTCGGAATATGACTTATCCAAGACAAATAAGCTGACTGTGAACCCATGTCTGTGAACTCTAATATTCTACTATGACATGGGATATGGGTCATGAGAACTGGGGCCAAAGGGAAGAACTATGTCATCTAAATTCTAATTTAATAATCCTTCTATCTTTGGTTAATTTGGGAATTTTATCTAATTGATAAGCTAAGACCCCAAGGAAGCCGTAAGACATACTGACTTCAGTAGGTTTTCAAAGAACATCTAGGAAACTTGGTTGGCCAGAGGATAGAAGAGGAACTCCACCAGAATTCTACTATGTTACTGACTGAATTTACTTCCAGGCCTCCTGCTTTACTTCTATTAAAGTGTCCATTAATAATGCCCACCAGAAATGTATTTGCCAAGGTGTTAATGTTTGTGCCCCCTAAATTCACATGTTGAGACTTTAATTTCACATATTGAAACCCTAATCATCTGGAAGGCTACTAGGTCAAAAATGTAGAGCCCCCTCCCCCATGCTGGGATTACTGCAACTTTAAGAAGAGACAGGAAAGAGCTCTCTTCTCTTTCTCTCTCTCTCTTGTCTCTGACTCTGCCATACAGGAGTCAGCACCAAGAACCCTTGTCTGTTGCTTTCAGATTGCCAGCTTCCAGACTATGTTGTTTCCCAGGCTATGGTATTCTGTCATAGCAGCAAGAGCTAACTGAGATAGTATTTTACAGAATATTGTCTTTAGTCCCCAGAAGGCTCTTCTTGGGCTGGATAGGTGCACACCTTCTTAGAGGAAGCCATAACCTATAATGCCTCTCATAGGCCTCTCCTCACAGCCCAAGTAATGTATGCACACAGAGGGCAGAACCAGGCCTGGCCTGACCACTCTCTTTCCACCTCAGCTCTATCCTCCTGTCTCTCCTTTCCAGAACTGTTCCCCACCTTGCACCAGAGCCTTCCAGAAACCAACAAGAAGGCAGTTTGCTCAGCAGCATTACCCCCTACTTCCCACCAGAGGTCGCCCTCCCACACAAGCCCAAGCAAACAGAAGCGGCTTTGCCTCCTTGGCAGCAGTGACATTATTTTCTCTCTCTATTTTTATCTATTAAAAAGATTTCTTCACAGCCATAACTTAGATCTCTGCACTAAAATGGAGCAACAGGAAGATATAATGGTGCATTTCATTTATGAATGACCTATAATAAATTACTCTGAAGTGTCCCGAGTGCCAGAAGACAGAACGCTTTGTCTGCCCACGGACTGTATTTCACATACTTTAATTTAGCTGACACATAAAACTCATTTGACATTTTGCAGGTATTTGTGTGGGGTGGGGTGGGGTGGGGTGGGGTGGGTGGGTGGAGGGGCTGGGAGGCAAGTGGGGGCTGTTGGGAGCTGGCACAGCAGGCAGAGGAAAGGATATTTGGTTCTTGTTGAGGGTTAAGGTGTGCAGCTGGGGTAACCCAGGCAACACAAGGTCGTCCCCAAGCAGATTGTTGTCCAAGATGAGCTCCTCCAGGCTCCTGAATGCGCTCAGTCCTTCCAGTGACCTGTAATGACAAAGGCAAGAGGAAAAATGATCCTGCACTAAATCAGGAGGCCATTATGAGCTGAAATAAATATTTTAACCTTCCCTTTCAGGACTGGGAATAGTTTGGGCTTGGTGCCTGTCAGCAAAGTGAATGACAAGAATTAGTAGCAGGAGCCGGGGTGGGGGCGCTAGGGGGAGAAGGGGCCGCTGGCACTCACCGCATCCTTCACGCATTGCCAACATGAAGGATGAGGGTCACTTAGTGAGTAGCCAGGATCCAAAACAAAGGGCTTCAGATACGGCCTGCAGGATAAATTTGTCAATGTCTTGTGCCTTCAGGCACCCAGCCTCGGCTGACCCTAACCTCCATTCCCAAGATAAATAACTCTGTCACAGTTCACCTTCATTCCCTGGACACAAATTTAAGTTGTCATCCATCATTCCTGCCTAGAAATATCATACTCCTCTTACAATAATAAATATAACTTCAAGTATCATTTATTTGCGGTTCTCCTCTGTACAGTCATAGGGGAAATGGTGAGGAAGGCTTCTTTTCTCTCCCTTCACATCCTTGGATGTCCCCCCTGTCTTTTTTTCCTTACTAATCACTTAATTTACTTCTGCCCAATGGCCCCCTGGCTGCCCAACAGGCAAGACATCTGCAGAATTGCATAATCGCTCCAGCCGAGGAGGGCCTTTTCTTCTTTCATTATTTCTTTTATTTGTTTTTGGTTTTGTTTGAAGGAAGGGGTGTGTGTGTGAGACTTTCTGTTTCAACGCTGCTGGCCTGAAGTTACTGTTTCAATTTATGGAACATAGATTTCTCACTTTATTTATTTATTTATTTTTTGAAGTGTGGATTGTAACAATGTAGATGTGGAGGCAGTAAATAAAAAGACATCTGAAAGGATTAAGTACCTGGCTCAGAGGAAAAAAAGCACTTTATCAGAGAGGGGGAAAACAGCCTTGTCGACACGCATAGCTAGGAGTTAACTCTCCATTCCATGGGCTTTTGTGGGTGTTTGGGGTGCAGGAGACATGGGGTAGTGGTGCACAAGTGCTTGCTGGAGCACACACGACATTAATTAAAGCAAGCCGCAGTTTCAGGGGCTTGCGCAGACACGTACACCGCCAGCCTGCTCACCTGCCAGACCCAGGAGATGTGCTGAGCTTGCACAGGCTGACAGCTGAGCTACGACGTCTACCAGAGGGAGGACTCGCCTGGGATCCCTGGCTATTTCATAAAATGTGACGAATCAGGAAGATGTCATCCACGCTATTTATTCGTTTACTGATAGCACCTACATTACAGCCCTGTGTGCTTGCGTGGGCAATGTGTGCACAACTTTAACACACATAGCTCCCTGGTGAGACTCTGCCAAAAGGCCTCCAAAATAAGGAGTCCATCTATGTGATGAGTAAGATGCATTGCCAGTAAGTGATTAAATCCGTGGATTCCACTGGCCCCAGAGTTCCACCTGCAAGCCCTGTTTCTGCCATACCTAAGGGTATGGCACCAACCCTGGCTCCAACATCCAGAACACGCCTGTTCCAACAGCCTTGACCAGCACTGCCTGGCCCAATGTGGAAGGCCAAGGCTGCACACAATTTGGGTTAAGGGTCACCCTATTTCATCTCTTCCTCCCCCTTTCTCTTCTTCCTCATGTTCTGGGAAGCAAGACACAACTTATCCACATCTAGGCAGGAGAGTCTGGGGTTTTACCTCAGCGCCACCATTTCTTTGCAGTGTGAATTCAGGCACACTGAGAGCAGATCTGAGCTCTCTTGTTCTGTGTTCCTTCCAGCTCATAGGATCTTACAGAGGCAAAGAGGACTAACAAGTGACAAGCAGATGCTGGTTCCTTTCTTTTCCTTCCTTCTTTCATTCATTGATTTTTCCCCAAGGCCCTGACCTTCGGTGGGTGTTTGGGAAGCAGGAGGTGGGCAGATGAACAAACGCAGAGAGAGATGCAGGGACCTTTGGGTTCTCCTGAAGTCCCTTTCTCCATGGGGGTCAATGAGTGATGCTCATTAACCAAAGGTACTTCTCAGGCCCAGGCCTTTGCTTGCCACAAGGGAAGAGGAGGTCACCTCCTGTCAGGCAGTCTTATGGGCAGCTAATACCTTCTTTGTGCACAAACATCAGCTGGGCTCTGGTCAAAGGCAGCATCCAAACACACATTGTTCCCGAGTTATGTTATGCAAATATTATACTGTTATCATGAGAATCGGCAAATGGTTGGCAACTGGCAAGCAGAAGAAAGTGCCTTCCAAGACTGCTTCAGGGGAAGCATAAAACAAAATGACACAGCATGAAGAGGGACAAAGCCCAGCACACTAGAAGGGCGTCCCGCCCCCACCAGGAAAGCTCTCTCTCCCTGCAGTGTAGGCTCTGGGGCACAGCTCCATAGCAGAGTGAGCCTCAGAGAGGTGGTTTCTCAAATCCCATCACCGGTCTGGTTTTGAGATTCTTTCTGCTACATAATGTTATTAGCTGCTCAGTAAAAAGGGACAGTCACATGGGGGCTGCTAATTAACCAATTGCTGTTTTCATGTCCTCCGGGTACTATGATTTTGGTCATTTAAGCAGCTATAAACAAGAGGCAAAGAGGTGAAAACAAGACACATAGGGGAAAGCATTTGTGGGCTTAGCTGGCAGGTGGAGGTCAATGAACATACACCTTTATTTTTGACTTTTAAATTTTGGGGGCATTAATATCATTGTTCATCAGGAAGGAATAGGAGAAAGAAATTATTTGCAATCTTTGAGTTCATATTCCTATATACCAGATGCCTGCAAATAGATATGCACTGTTAAATAAAACAGCAAGGAAAAAAAAAAAGGCTTTAAAGATCTACTCAGGTCTGTATTGTTTAATGGGACACTGTTGGTTAGCTCACAGGGAAATGACAAGGGACTGCAATTTCTCTATTATAACCTTGCATGTCCCCTTTGTGTGGATGGCAAAATGTGCCCTAAAAGAAGAGACCTAGTAAAAAGGGTGACTGGTAATCAGGGTTATTCATCAGCTTCCCTGGCAATGACTGTGGCTTCTGAGCATGGGCTAGGGAGCTGGAGGGAGCTGGCAAGGATGCACTCACTACTGGCAAGGCCAGCTGGAAAGAACTCTTCCCAGCCTGGTAAAGAGCTTCCAAGAGCAGGGAGGGAGACAGAGGTGGGGCTCAGTGGCAGGTGGTTTACTCTGGAAACCTCATCAGAGCCTCTGAGGCTCCTCGCAGGCTGCCTGCCTCCCACTCCACCAGCAGGAGAACTCTTATGATCTCACCCACAGGTACCATCTTGGTCACCTCATTTGCTAGGCTCAGGCTGGGCTCCCATAGGTGCAGCAGTGGCTGCTGGGAGAGTCAAGTAGCTTTTCCAAAGTCACATCAAAATGACAAAACATCACAATGCATTCAGCTCCACTGGATTCAAACAGAGAGAACTTTTAAGTTTCCGCTGTAATTAACCCTATCCTTGTTAAGATAATTATGATCAAGCTTCCTGTCACAGTTAATATTCCAGCATCATCGCCTGTGGCTTACACTCTGCCCTCATTAGCTTATAAAAACAGCGGTGCTAAACAGGCAACCGCTGCCCTGCCCAGACGAGGCCAGTATCTGAGAGCTGGGATAGAAGGGCTGTGGGTAGGGCAGGGCAGTGGGTCCCAAAGAGGGCCCCCTGAGCCCCTTCTGCTCCTGGGTGGATGTAAATTAAGCCTCCTTCATCCTGTGCCTGAAAATTGGCCACTCATGAAAACTGGGAAGGAGAAAGGCTGGGATCAGGTTTGGAAGGTGGAGGTGTCAGAGCATCTGATTTGTGGTGCCCCTCCCTGTCCCTTAGCCAGCACACAGCCAGCCAGAACACTGTGCTATAGAAGTCACTTTCAGAAGCCCTGGGCCAATCCCAGGAATATAAGCTGTGTCAACACCAGATCTTGAGTCCCTTAGTTGCCAACCTTCACCAGTAGTTAACACCTGTGCCTTTCATGGGATGGGGACTGAGTGGTGGGAACAGTTCACCACCAATCTTATGAGAGAAGCCTCTTTCTCTTTGGAACCATATCTGGCCTCAAGCCTAGGACTAGATCAAGCATAGAAAGGTGATCTCCACCTAACATTTTTAGCTACTTCCTCAACTATGTCCATCTACATATCCACGCTCACATTTTAAACATGGAAACTCTAGGGCACCAAACCTCAGGATGGCAGCTGAGGTCTGACACCTGCTACACTGATCAGTCCCCTTGACCTGCACAATGACCAGCCTGGTCATTGTTTCTCTGTCTTCCCAGCCACTAACAAATGGGGATCTCAATGTGACCTCCACACACTTGGAAAGCTATCAGATGCACCAGAGATTCCATGTGTCCTTACCTTCTGACAACGGCTCAGCTAGAAGCTATGAGACTAACAGAAAATCAGCCAAGAGAATCCGAAGGGCAGGACAAGAGTGAGCAGAGGGAACTGGCCAGCAGCCAGGAGGGCAATCCCTATACTTCTCTCCTTTCAGAGGCCAGGCACTGTCCCAACTATACCTGGGGATGTGTCTCTGAGATCAGGAAGAATGACAATCAAAGTCTCTACCTGTATTCCAGGACAGTGGTTAAAATATTTAAACATTTCTTTTATGTTGATAAATAACTTAAGGTCTAAGGACCCTCCCTTATCATTTGGCCACTCCATGGAGCCCCTGATATCTCTTCATAATCTAGCAACTAAGTAGTCAATGCCCAACCATCATATCACAGGGCCAGCATGGACCCTGTACTGACCAGTATCTGTTCTGATTGGTCAGTGTGCAGTTAAATAGTTTAAACATCTCCTCTGAGAGCAGAAATAGTCATTTATACTGGTTTGTCTCCCTCCTATTCTCTCACCTGGCCCACAAACAGATACTAGAGAAATGTCTACAAATTAACTTCCCATAGCAGCCATGACCAAAGCTACAAAGACTGGACAAGCTAACTGATGGAAATGGGAGAAAGAAGAGAACTGGTGAGTGGGGATGTGACTTTT